GTTAGTGTGTGGATTCCGTGTGCTTAGCATATAACTGATGGAGGCTCTGCTGGTTTGTCCTACGAAAGTCCATAAAAGACATAGGTAGAATGAGGACCTTTTCTGTTGTTGCCTTGATGTGTTGATGACCGGTCATACCTCTCTTGAGTGCCTGGGTGACTTTCTTTGGATGAGACAGAATTAACTTGTTTTAGATATTGAGAAAATCTAGTCTTGGACTTTGTACACCTGAGTCCTTGCCCTGTTTCTGCTTATATGTTGCCCCTAATACTTGATTTCTTTTGTGAACTTTTTTGCCCCATAGAATAGAATTGTCCACGTGTGTGCGTGCACCACCTTCAGTTCTGGGGAAACTACCACTGCTGGAGAAAAAATGGGATTCATTTGGGAAGGAGGGAGGCAAGTAAAGAACCCACCGTAGTCCTCTTTCCTTTTTTTTTTTTTAAGTTGGAGTCTCACTCTGTCACCCAGACTGGAATGCAGTGGCACGCTCACGGCCACCATAGCCTCAACCTGCTGGGCTCAGTTGATCCTTCTGCCTCAGCCTTCCAAGTAGCTGGAACCACAGGCAAATGTCACCATGCTTGGCTAATTTTTTGATTTATTATAGAGAATGAGGTCTTGCCATGTTGCCCAGCTTGGTCTTGAACCTGTGGGCTCAGTCTCACCTCAGTCTCCCAAAATGCTGGGATTATAGGTGTGAGCCACTGCACCCGGCCAGCCTCTTTCCTTATAAGGAGAACTAGCAGGATGGAAAATAGTTAGAGGCTCACCAGATGGTTTTTAGAGTTTTAATTTCATTAAAGCTTGAACTCAAACATACCTAATAGATTTCCTCTTTTTAGCCTCTGAATTTAGGGAAAGAGGGATCCCTGACCTACCCAGGTTGAACTCAGGGGAAAGGGCGGTCTGTTTGTTTCAATGCCGTGGTCTCCAGGGTACCTTCTGTAGTCCTTTGTATTCTTAGAAACAAAGTCACCACCTCTTGGCAGAAATGAAGTCACTCAGATGCCAATGGTCAGGATTTGGTTTCAAGTCACCAGCCTTGGCCAGGCAGTGCCCGATTTCCTTTGGCAAAGACACCTGCCCCTTCTCTGTTCATTTCAGCCTTGGGCACAGAGGTAACCTCCTTAAAATAGAAACCTTTGAGGACTCTATCTGGTGCATTTTTGAATCGTTGTGCTTGTCCCGAATTCTAATTTAATTTCACAGAATTGTGAAAATGCCATTTAGCGCTTTTTTGTTTGTTTGCTTCCTTTTCTCAAATCAACTTTTGGAAAAAGTTGATTGAATGGCATGAGAAAGTTTCAGGTGTTTCTCCCGGGAGACAGTTTGGGATTGACGTGTGCAGCAAATGTGAGGCTGCGGCGTTGACAGGTCTATAATCTATTCTTAACTCCAGAACTATTCCTGGATGCGTGACCGCAGGCAAGCCAGGTCATCACTAAGCTTCTATTTCCTCCTCTGTAAAATGATTTAAATATACCCATCTCCAGTGTTGTCATGAGGTAGCAATCACCTGAGATCACATATATTAAAAGCACATTGCTCACGGTGCACCATGGACACGAGTCCCTTTCCTTCGGTTACAAGTGGGCTGTAATCAGGGATTTGGACAGTCACACAGCCTCACAACTTGCTCCCAGCTCTTGGCCTGTTTGTGTTTGTTTTTTCTTTGCTAGGCAGGAGAGTTAGGTAAAGTAGGGAAGTTCCTTTGTTTCTACTCCAGGATCTAGTTAATCCCACATGATAATAAGCCACAACAATTGTAACTTTAGGAGCTACAGTTTCTCAAACACTTCTTAGATGCCAGGCCCCTTCTGCACATTACTTCTTTGAATCTTCAAAATGGTTCTGTATTACAGGTCTTACATCCCCATTGCACATATGAGAAAACTGAGGTTTCAGGTTCGTGTCTGGCTCCAGAGTTTTTGTGCCTTACACTCAGCACCTTGCTTTTCAGCTACCTTCATGGCCCCCATCTGCCTGTGGTGATTTTTCACCCCCATTCACCTTCTCTTGAGGTCGGGGCCGGGGGTGGGGGGTGGTCCCTGTTTCCAACAGTACAGTGCAGGGGCATTTCAACGTCAAGAGCAAAACAACTTCAGGTTTCCCAGCTTCTTTGCTTCATTCACCCCAGCTCTGGTCTGGCCTTGAGCAGCTGGCAAGACAGAAGAGCTGGGAGTGGAGGGCCTGGCAAGATATGGGTCCCCAAGGCTCTGTGTGTTGCATCCTTTTCATAAGCTCCCAGCCTACAGAGAGCATTAGAATGGATAGAAACGGCGCCTCTAGAACTGGGTAGGGCTGGGAGCTGGCTGCAGGCAGAGGTTGTCTCTAAGGGTTGGAGGGATGAAACACAGATAGCCAGTTGTCCTGCTAATGAAGGAATGGTGCCTTCTGATGCAATGGTGGGTACCCGAGATTACCCAGGGCAGCCGGCCATAAGGCAAGCTCCACATTCAGTGATTCCTCTCTGATTTACTCCAGCATCTGTGTCCCCAACTTTGCCTGTCCTGTTTTTTCTCCTTTCGCCCACTAATGAGACTGGAAGCTCCCTACCAGCCACCATGAGGCTGTGCCTCATACATTTCTGGGGGCCGTTGTTTGTTTGTGGTTGAAAAGATGATGTGACAACATTTGAGAAAATTTATAAAAAGATCAAGACACTCCCCTCAACCCCCATAATCTCACTTCCTCCCACCCCCATCATCTCACCTCCCTAACACGATGACTTTTATTCTTTACCTTTATAGTCATTCAGAGGTTCTCAGTCTTATCTGAAATTCACCAAGCAGCCAGTCCTTGTAAGAACTTGATAGGGTTCTTTTTCACAGCACCTGTTACCATTTAGGATTTTTGAAGCCTTGATAAAGATGTCACTCTGATGGTTGAACAGGGGGAAGGACTTGGTCCTCTTCCAGAAGATACAGCCCCGGGCACACCGCCTACCCTCAGATGGGGTATCCGGCCTCCTGTTTTCAGCATCATGGTCAGAGATCCTTGGTGTGAATAACAGACTATGGATTTAAACCAGCACTTCTTTAGGGTATATTTAATAGGATTTTATGACCAGCTGAATTTGGGAAACTGTAGGTTATACAACATTTTTTTAAAAGTCTATTTATGACTTTTAATATGCTGATATTTATTGTGCATCTCAAAGAGACAAAGTTTTATTTTTATTTTTTAAATTTTTTTAGTTTAAAATTTTTTTTTATTTTAAAGATGTAAGAGTACAATTCAGGGTTAGGTATACAAATGTTAAGGTTTTATTTTTAAAATAATAATAGCTAGCATTTATTGAGTGCTTACTCTGTTGGATCTAGAATCTCTAATGAATTGTCTCTGTGAAGTATCTCATTTAAACCCTGTAACAATCCCATAAGTAGATGTTGTCACTGTCCCCGTTTCAGGGGACTTCCAGTGTTGTAGCTAATTTGCAGTGAGCGCAATGTTTTGGGCCTGAGCAGGCTCAGTCCAGACTACTTATTCTTAATCAATATGCAGTACTTCTCCCTGTAGGCACCTTTGCCCAAAGTCTTTGGTTATTTGGGACTTCCTGTGGCATTAGTATTCCAAAGGACAGTAGTTGAATAAGTACCGATTTCAACTTGGAAAGTGAACAGGGACTGTAGATGAAGGAAGATAGAGTTTTTCTTATGAACCCTATTGATTCTGAGGCCCCTGGAGTCCCTGCACCCCAGACTTCTTGGTCTTTGTCACATTAAATTGGTGTTACTGCCCATTCAGCAGCAGAGGCAGGCATGGAAGAGCTAGAGTTTAGCATCTAGACCAGTGGTTCTCAAACTTGGCTGCGTATTGGAATTCACCCAAGGAGATTTCAGTTCAGTCTGGGTTGTTTCTGGACATTGGTGGCTTTTAAATGCTTTTTGGTGATTCTGATGCAGTCTGGGTTGAAAACCATTGGTTTTTACACACTCTTTTGTGGTTTAGTTACTGTGTCTTATCCCAAAGCAAGGGGAAGAAAAGCTGTCCTTTGTGCATTAAATGACTTAACATGGTTTGAGGGCTATTATTTGTTTTTTTCGTGAGTGAGTGACCTATGTTCTTTTTTACCAGCCATATATGACTTTGCAGATTTTCTCCATGATCTGTACCCCTGATCCTAGCTCTGCACTGACAACTGCATATTAACCAGCCCTTACTCAGAAGTTTAGGGTTGGTTACTAAGGAAGCTGGTTATAAAGAGGCTCAGAACTCTCGGCTGGGCTCTGTGGCTCAGCCTGTTATCCCAGCACTTTGGGAGGCCAAGGCAAGTGGATTGCCTGAGCCTGTGGGTTCTAGACCATCCCGGGCAACTTGGCAAGATCTTATCCCTACAATAAATTAAAAATTAGCCAGGCGTGGTGGTGTATGCCTGTAGTTCCAGCTACTTGGAAGACTGAGGTGGAAGGATCTCCAGAGCCCAGCAGGTCGACGCTGGGGTGGCTGTGAGCGTGTCACTGTACTCCAGCCTGGGTGATGGAGTGAGACTCAAACTCAAAAAGAACTCTTACTCCTGCTGGAAGAAGGAAACAAGTACCATGGCCCAGAACACTGCATCCACTTTGTTGCTAGGGAAGCTGAGGCGAGAAGTGCTTTCTGGGTGATAAAATTGACTAACAATACGTAAATTTCTTGTAGGGCCCCAAAGAGTGTCACTGACATTTCCAGTTGGGTTAGGTAAATTGGCTACTAGAATTGTTTCTTGGTTGATAGTTGGGCAAACTAAACTGTTGTTTATTATTATGTCTGCAAAAAGCCTTTTTTAGGCATTTGGGGAAAGATATGCCCTTGTCAATAAAAGACAATGATTGTTTTAACCCTAAGCTATAATGGCTTTTCTTAACATATTCATCTTTTCAAAGGCACAGACCCTAGGCTGTTCAAGGCCTAATTCCGGAATTTTGAAACTCCTGCTCTTCATCCAGTTCAAGATGGATGAGTCCCAGGTTGATGAAAGGGTTTGTAATGGGAATGTTTCTGTTGGTTTTTTACAGTACAACAAACACCTCTTCGTGCACATTGGGCATGCCAACCATTCTTACAGTGACCCATTGCTTGAATCAGTGGACATTCGTCAGATTTATGACAAATTTCCTGAAAAAAAAGGTGGCTTAAAGGAACTGTTTGGAAAGGGCCCTCAAAATGCCTTCTTCCTCGTAAAATTCTGGGTGAGTAAGACAGTTGCTGTGATTTCTATGGTTTGTGTCTGAATGACCGTGTCCCTTGGGTTTGCACTGATTCACTGTTGTATACAGAATTGCCATGGTTCACAGGCTCGTACCTATGGGCTGACCTCTGCATCCACATGGTGCATGGAGGCATTCGCTGTCTCTGCCAAAGAGCAAGAGAGACAGGGTCTTTTTGGGCTTCAAGTCTCACTCATGCAGTGACTCACGGGTGGCTGGAGTCACAGTGGAAACCATGGGGCACTACACCTTCTTTCTGTTTCTTCTCACTACTTTAATTACAGCCGCCAGTAAATCCCATCAGGTCCCATCATGGGACCTGGAGCTGGGAGGAAGATAAAGTTACATGCCTGAAGATTTTGTAAGCTTCCAGATATAAAATGACTGTGCTGCATATATGATGGAGGACCCCCCCCAAAAAAATGGAATTATTTTTTAGAGGGCGGGCTGCTTTTGGTACAGGCTTCCCTGGCTAGGTAAGCATTCTAGGAACCCACTGGCATCAGTGTACCAGCTAGCATTGTTGTAAGATGCTGTGTTTGACTTCTCTGAAGCTTTTTTTTTGGGATATTGTGTAAATACTTTTGTCCATTTCACAATGGGAGACTTACAAGCGCACCTGTCCACACCGCACTGAATATTCAGCAGGTTTGGACCAATAATAGCATGATCCCCATGCTCCACCCTCCCTATTCACCCAATCTCGACCCTTGTGACTTCTTTTTTTGTTTCCCCGAATGAAAAAAGCCCTCAAAGGGAAACATTTTGCCAGTGTGGAAGAGGTGAAACAAAAAATGGCAGAAGCACTAAAAGGCATCAAAATCGACATGTTCATCAACTGTCTTGAGCAGTGGAAAAAGCATCTTGATGGGTGTATTGTATCAAGCATAGAGTACTTTGAAGGTGACTGACATTTAAACATGTAAGAATAAATATACAGTTTTCTGTAAATCAATTCTGGAGTTTTTGGGGGAGTGTTCCCCTCTTGTATGCACCACTTGTGCTTTAGAACTACATGGGCAGATTCCCTTGGCTGCGGGCGCTTTGCTGATGTCCCATGGTTAGTCTTTGAGGGGAGCTTTACTGCTCCTTTTTCACGGGTGGAAATGTGCTAATGGGGCAGGGAAGGCATAAGTTTAATGTGTGTCTACTGAGGGTCTGAGGGGATCAGAAGACCAGATAACCTGCTAGCACTGGGAGTTTGGAATTCTTCAGTCTTTTTTATTTCTTTTTGGATTTCTTGTAGAGATGAGGTCTTGCCAAGTTGCCCAGGATGGTCTCAAACCCATGGGCTCAGGCAGTCCTCTCACCTCGACCTCCCAAATTGCTGGGATTACAGACTTGAGCCACCGCGCCTGGCTTGGGACCTTTTTTTATATAGTGACTTTCGTTCATTGAATGGCCGCTGTGCACTAGCAACTGCAACTAAATGTTCTATGTGCGTTTCATCTTGTTCTTGAATCTGTAAGTGGAATATACCTCATATCCAGCTAAGAAAGCAGACTCAGTGATTACAGAGGACAAGCAACTGGTAGGGCTGGGTACCTGGAACTTGAAGTCAGGCAGCTGACTTCATTGCCTCTACTTTGTTTTGTGGCTGCTTAATACCCTGCAGATTTTGGCCACAGAATCTGTCAACCTAAGATTCTCCATATCTCTATCCCAAGCAAGTGCCCTATACAAAAAAAGTCCAGCAAATGTGAGAACAAATGGACAAGTTAAAGAAAAAATTATGATTTTGATTCCACAGGGAAATATTTGCACATTAAATTTACTTTGTTTAGTTCCATGATAACTAGATTTCCTTTTTTATGTGCATCTGTGCTAAAATCTGGATAGTAGATGTAGCCTTCTATTACTATCAATGGTCGTTGGATCCACATGGACAACCTGAAAAAAGCATGGACAACCTGAAAAAAGCAGTCAGTTACTTTCCTTTTTTACATTGGTGGCTACCTTCACAACTTGAATGGTGGTAGGAGAATCAGTTATATGATAATTTTCAAACTATGCCCCGTGAACCCCTGGGAGGGTTCCTCGGTATCCTTTCAAAGGACTGACAAGATCAAAACTGTTTTCTTTACAATACTGAGGCAGGATTTACCTTTTGCACTCTGTGTGTAGTCACACAGATGGTATAAAAGCAGTGCGGTACAACTGCTTTAGTATGCCTCAAAACAGTGGTTCTGCTACCAAAATGCATGCACGGTTTAAAGCAAAAAGTAAACTCAAGAATGTTCTTTATGAACACTGTTCATGTACGTGTTCATGGATATTGAAAATGAACACATGAGCCACTCACATCAGTGAAAACAACTGATGTTATTTGTAGTCAAAGACAAAATTCATGCTTTCCAGTGAAAGTTAGGATTTTGGGAAATTTGTATCCACCGCAGTGAATTTAACGACTTCCCCAATACTTAAAGACTTTTCGGATACAATCCACAGTGTAATTTGACATTGTGCTAGATAGACCAATGTATTGTAATGTTACAGAGTTAGAAAAGTTCACTGGTGTGGTTTCAGAATCCATATTCTAGAAATTCAGATTCCACATTCCACCTTAAGAAATGACTACCTCACGTTGAGTTGTGATGTAGTGTCAAAGAAAAATGACGCAGTGATCTGAAGAGCCTACCTCAAAATGTAAAATAGCACACCCCCTCTCGCTGTTAAAAAAAAAAAATTATAGACATGTTTAATTTTTTAAATAGATGTGTATTAACATATAAGGAACTTATTATTTTTTAAAATGTCGTCACAAATATTTTTAAATTTTCTGTTTTAATTTCCAATCCAGAAAATATAGATAGGCATAATCTACAATAAACAAAATATAGATAGAAAAGATCTACAATCAATAAATCTTGGAGATTCTCAATAATCTTTTTGGGTCTTGTTTTTGCAATATCATACATGATCATCAAAATGCTGCTAGAATGCTCACATCTGTTGTTGCAGTTTCAAGGAAAACCTTCTTGAGAATTTATTTTAGTTCGGGGTCAAGCTGCCTGTTACACTGATCATTCTTAAAAGCATGTCAAGGGGTCCTATGCTCAAAAAGTTTGAGAGCCACTATTATAAAGGATCTAAAAAGAGGTTGTGTATTCAAGTTAATTAAAAATGAATTAGAAATTGTAGGATATGATAAAAAGAAACCATTTTCAGTACCTTCAAATTAAACAGTAGTGATTTTAGTGATAATATGATTCCTGATAATTAGCATATTGTTTGAATATAAAGTAGTATAAAGAGTGCCTAGAAAGTTTTTTTTTTGTTTTGTTTTTTGTTTTTTTTGCTTCTGCTTCCAAAATTGCCCCTGTTTTACTCACTGGATGATTTTAATAAATGCTTTCAGTGACGGGGACCTTCAGCCATGAATCCCCAAATAATGAGGTCTAGATTGCAGATGCTTGGAGTGTGGTGGCTGGTGTGAGATGTGCAAATTTAGAAATAATTGCTCTGAAATCAGATACTTGTTTATTAAATTAAGATTTGCAGAATTAAAATTGAGCACTTCTATGAATGTGATAGAAAACATCACTCCTTCAGTATAATTGTTAGGAATACTTAACCTTTATAAAGAAATTCAGTTGTAATTATGTTAAAATAAAGGAGAGAAGACAATTTAAATTAGATTTGCAATTTGAAATTTCACTGGCTTTCTTTAATGTCTCAGTAAGAATGAATTACATTTAGAATATCTATCCTTGAATATCAGTAGGTGATTCCAGGGGTGATTCTAAAGCAAGTTTAACTCCCTTTGAAATATCATTTAGCAACTTGTTTAGCAGATTGTCTTAGTTTTTGTGTGAATTCAGTAAATGACAACAGAGACCCTGTACCCAGCCCTCCGCCTCCATTTTTCCTTTTGCTCTAAGTGCTTGAAGTCTCTATTCAAAATCGGACTCTTTTTAGAGTCGGAGTCCCAGATTGGAGTGCAGTGGCATGATCACAACACTCATGGCTCATGGCAGCCTCCACATTCTGGGCTCAGGTGATTCTTCCACCCAGCATCCTGAGTAGCTGGGACTATAGGCTCCCAGCTATTTTATTTTTATTTTTAATTTTTTGTAGAGATGTTTCACTGTGCTGCCCAGGCTGGTCTCGAACTTCTGGGCTGAAGCAATCTGCCTGCCCCAGCCTCCCAAAGTGCTGGCATTACAGCTGTGACTACCACGCCCAGCCTTCGGGCTAACTGTTAATTTTGTTTATTTGGTTGCTCCTGAATCCTGTTTTCAGAATGTCTGCCTCCTCCAGCCTGAGCTCTGTCAGGCTAGAGCAGGTAAAGGGTTTGCTATGGAAGAAATATTGCTACCTAAGTTAAATCTTAATTTTTAATAAGCACTTAAACCCAAGACATGGGTGCCTCAGCTTTTTGGTATTTGACACTTTGAGGTGAATGGGGTGGCAGTGAGCCAAGTAGCAGTCATTCCACTGGTTTCAGGGTGGAAGACTCCACTGCTACCCCAGATCTTGGGCCCCAAAACATATGTGAATGACAAAGTCAAGAATGCCAGCGTGGATGCCCCTCTGCTATATAAACCTTACAGTCTCTCATGATTTAATGGTGTAGGACACCCAGGAGTCCCTTAGAATGGCTGCATATCTAGTGAGACCTTTTTTTAAAGAGACTTACTGAGGCATAATTTATATACCATAACAATCACTCATGTTAAATGTACAATTTCATGATATTTAGAAAAATTGACAGTTGTGTAACTATACTACAATAGAATTTTAGAGTATTTCTATCACTTCAAAAAGATCCCCCGTGCCCATTTGTAGTCAATTTCTGTTCCTTCCCCCGGCCCCAGGCAGTCACTAATGTACTTTCTATCTGAACAGATTTGCCTTTCTGGGCATTCCATGTAAATTGAATCATTCGCTGCATTGCCTTTTGTATCTGGCTTCTTTCGCTTATTATGTTTTTTTGAGGTACATCTTTTGTATTGCTAAATACTGTCCCATTGTATGCATAG